CTAATCGTGATAATCAGCGATACGAGAGCGGAGAAGGGATGAACAGCATCATTAAGAGATCGAAGATTAACAAATAGATTTCATGCAGACTTGATGATAATGACGATCGCCATTCGATTTATAACGGTTTCGCTCATCACCTACATCGCAATCGACACGCTCTCATCATCGCCTATCTCGACAACGGATCGGTTTCGTTTGCTTTCGATCAATCAGCAATCATCATTTCTATGTCATCATCAAAAGAGACACATTTTCTTCTAGGGGATGCCCCCGCAAACACAACAGCAACATCAGCAATAAGCATCTGGATCGGTGATGAATTTTATCGGAGTTGATTGAACAGCTAAGAGAAGACTGTATCTCACGCTTTCTTAAGAAACGAAAGTTTCATCGATTGAACACAACAAAATCCCACGTGATCATGTGAAAATTTCGACTTCAACGAATCCCTGTTTGATGTCGCTTTTTCGACTTACACACGCACAAAATGGGTCAAAGGGGAAATTTTTGGATCCATATTCAAGCCCATCAAGCTTCTTGTCACAACGACCAATCAGAACATTTGATTCAGAATCTCATTGAAAATCGCCAGCCAAAGATACTTCCAAATGGCACTTAAATGAGAGAGAATTTTGATNGAAGAATACTGGAAATTGGTGAGGATGATGTGATGAGATATGTACACAGCGATTTTGTACAATTGAGCAACGGCTACGAAACCAACGAACAAGTATATTGCTCCCGTTACAAAGGTTGAAAATCAACAAAACACTAGATTCTAACTGACCACAAATGGCGTCGAAAAGAAGTACTCAAGGCATAGTTACTGGTACACATTTTATTGCTCAGTATTCATCTTACTTGATTACTTGCTACTTACATCATTAATCAGAACCTCCTGCACGAGGGTTCATTTGTTTTCGAAGCTTACGAATGTCACTATTATAGTAATGAAAATGGATGATGCAAAAGAGGGATTTAAATGAAAGTAATATCAGAGAGTCACGCATTTTTAAAGGTATTGCATGCCTCCGAATAAAGAAACAAATAAATAGCTTCAGGTGAGAGTACCTTCTACTGTGAATTAGTCAAATATAATAATAAAGTTGAAATACTGTCACTAAACAAAATTAGTATTATATAAAAGGTGAACGTTTGGTTGGTCTGAATTCTCGACAATTGAAATCAGGCTTAAACTCAAGCTCCGGATCGGTCTTTAGACGTAGGACCGTGCTCAGGGCTTTGTCCGAGCCTTATTTATTTTTAGCCTTTGCTATTTGTCGGTATTCATCAATTTGAGCATTTCTTTCGGGATAATGATTTTGGCGTCAACTCGACCAAACGTTCACCCAACTACACAAGCCAACATTTCAATCAGTGATTCGGATGGAATCGCAGACTGTGTTTCCTCAATGCGCTTGCGCTCGACAATACTGCTGCACACAAATGACACTGTACACGTCTCTCTGAAACGAACAACTTTTCATTACTTCAAATTTCAGTCAACAAATGCATATTTACATATTCATTCATCAGCAATTAACTGTAGCTGCTTTAAGGCGTTGAAATTGAATTGAAATCATTTTTTTGCGATAATGAAACAACATTATACATCCGCAGAACGTCATGCATTCAGAGTAATCTCAAAAAGATATTTAAACAAATTATAAATTCAGAATGAATTTAAAAACCAACTGTGGTGTGCTCTTAACTCGTGGTTGCGTCGATCAGAACACGTCCCAAAAGTTTTCAAACAAAATTTACATTTGACGAATCGTAACTTCTGATGACAAACACGATTATGTAGCGTGAGACGTTCATTTGAGGCGAACGAAGCTGCACACATTGTGCACGAAAACGGTTGTTGATTTGTATGCATACGAAGATGGCGTTGTAGTTGATATCTTAAAAGTTTGAATTCAATCTTTTTTTAAATTTTATAGTCAATATCAAATGCCAAATATTCCAACAAAGTCCCTACATCTGCCGGAAATTCCCACCCGACTATATACTCATTTTCGTGGGAACGAAAGCAAAACACTGTCTTCAGCCTACAAAATTTAAACGAGAATAAAACTGACCCAAGAAGGTCACAAAACGTGTGAAATATTCAATTTGATAAGTGATCAGTGCTGAGAAACGCATCAATAATTTACCGATATCTGAACGGCAGACACTGCCTTGAACAGTTTCTCCAATAGCACTTATTATCACCCTTGATAAGGTGCTTCTCACTGATATGATCAGATAAGGCATCTATTGCAGATCCACTCCATTCACAATCTTCCCATTCACATGTTCTCAAATCTTCCGTTGTGCCATCCACCTTCATAATCATCAATTCGTGATACGTTCAAANTGCGATATTGTTCCCGTGAAAACTAAGAAATGAATTCTCAACAAGCATGAAAGGATACCAAAAGGATTCAATATTACACTTTCGGAGGTGGTAATCCTTATTTTTTTAAAATAGGTGCTTAGATAACTCAAGTAATCCGCTCTGATCCAAATATACATCGAATAGAATCCATCCATTCACAAACTCATACAATCTTAGAATTCCTTCATATTACATTTCAAATATTGAACTGCCCCTGACTTGATTTCACATAACTGAATGAAAATAGATAATAAGAATTCTACCTCGATTGTTGTGCCTTGATTGCTACTTGTGGCACATTCATTCAGCCCATCGCTTATAATAATTCTTTGCTCATCTCTGTTTTTATTGTTATGACCAATTTTGTTATCACCATCGAATTCGAACAATTCACACTGTAATCAGTTTAGAATTCACGCTTTTCTCAGCTGTTCTTCCAATGGAATAACACAGTCACGATGTCCGTCTTGGTTGGTCCCTTATAATATGAAAGT